GGCGATAGACCATTTGAATTCCCTAACTCTCCGTTAGAAAGCGGCGAAGTACATAGAGCATTGCAATTGACTTCTCTTTCTTCAACCTGCTTTACTTCAAGTTGATTAAGTTGAGCTTCGAGAGCTGAAATTTGTTGTTCTATATTTCTCTTGTTAGCCTTTAGAGACTCGATTTCCTCGCGAATACGAGTTGCTTCAGCACCATTGGAATCCATTACAAAAGCCAGGAACAATCTGAATACAGTACCCAAAGACGCAAACTTTGGCTTAGGCAAGACAGAGGAGTCAGAGGGAGGCAAATTATAAACCCTATATCTACTGAACCCCCTTCTAATTTTTTTTAATGCAATATTTGGCCTAATAATGTTACCACTTACAAATTACAACCCTCGACATGTTTGAGACGTCTCAATTTCATTAAAAAAAATGTAAAAAGGATAACATACCACACGAAAAGGAAACCATCTCAAAAATTTAGTTTTGTAATCCATTAAATATTATTTTAACTCTATAATTATTTTCGTAGAAAAATAGTAAAAATACTATATGTAAATAAAATACAAAAGATCTTTGTAAAATTATTTTTTTCTATTCAAATCAAAAAGGACATAAGAAATTATTTGTTAAAAAAAAAAATCTCAACTCCATTACGTTAATTGGGAAAATATTTTTATGAACAATTATCTAAACAATAGAAACATAATTTTCCGACCTTTTGAATGAAAACAAGGAAATAGGTATTCTTGAAACAGAGGATTTATATTTTTTTTTTCTATTATAATATTGCGTTAGAGAAAATGATCTCATATGCCCGCTTACAATTTGAATGGAAAAAAAATTACTCTCTAAAAATTTCTAGTGTGTATAAATAAAAATCTTTTGCCAAAAAAGAAAAAACACTAGAAACAACTTTGTATTGTTGAGTGTCACGCTTGAGAAATCTTATAGCTTATCAATTTCTTTCTTTTATTATTTTAATAGCTTTTTAAGTCTATCCCCATCTTCTTCCTTCATTATTTGAATCTTCAGTTGATTTTCTTAGTTATTAGTTATAGTAAAAAACAATTTCCAGCTAACTTCCGTTCTTACAATGATTTACAATTGTCACACCTCCTTTTTACCCACGGGGATAGGGGAGTTTTTCCAATTAAAGTGACATTGTTCGAAATGAGATTTATTTATTTGTCAGAGTCGCTACTTAGAATAATTTATGGTGTCCCAAGTCACCAGTTTATTTTAAATCCCAAATCGAGAAAATTTGACTCTATTTATGGTCCGCGAACACAGAAAATCGGATAAGGAATTTTGTTAACCCGGGAGAAGGTGTGAGGCACTCCCGAGTTCCGTGGTTTTAACACGGTCGTTTAACAATTAATACTTAGCCTAATTATCTGATTTAATACATATTTGAGACCTATTGTGCATTTTACCTTTAACCGCTTTTAATTATGTATTTAAACGCTTTTTAGTATTTATGGAGTTATTTCTTAAACAAGTTACGATGTCGTACACTTATCGTTTTGGTATACATTGCAAACCGCGCCACGTGAAACGTACCCGCGATTTACAACATGTTTATTATTATTATTTGAATTTGTGGTCAAATCGCGTGAAACGCGCACTTGAGTTGGGATTTACATATCGTCATCATGCCACGGGAACCGTACCCATAGTCACGATGATTTATTAATCACGCCTAAAGCAAACTACGATTGTTCATGAATTATTTTCCTAAACTACTTTGAGATTATTGTATGGGTCATGATTTATGGAATCATTTGGAGAAGTATGTACATTAGTAATTTACTAAACTAATCTGTGAAGTATTTTAGTTCTTTGATTTAAGAATTAGTATATTCGAAACACATATACATTTTTAATACTGAGTGTACAGCTAAACCAACTAACGCAATGAAAGTTCGTTTGCCTTAAGGCCTACTAGTAAAAGAAAACGGCTCAATTACTGATTTTCACATTTGAATCAAATGGCCTAATTTCCTAACTAGCGGATGGCTCACTATCCTAACAGATGTTCTCAAAACTTCACTGCTACAATCTAATATATGCAGATTCTTTCAACAAATTTATTAATTATATTTTATCATGGTTTTATCATCAAAACAGATCCTCCACTCTTCCAAACTAATCATGAAATCAAACGAAAGCTAACGAGCTATTTCAACAAGACAAAAGGAAACAAACAAAAATGAAATCCTAATAAATACTAGCAAATCAATATGAACCAACATTTAAGCACACGATCAGCGAATCAAGGCAGGAACATGCTTGAAGATGAAACAGGGCATGCTATGGTGAAAATAGATGAAAAATAAAAGGTGAACCTCAATGACTTTCTTCTGTATTTGATTTATCAAACAAAGTTCCAAGTGAATAATCCGACAGTACACGTTGCTCTGAATTGAAGACAGGACTTTTGACCGGAACTTCGACTAACGACCTCGACTTCGAACCAAAGAGAACCTCGACTTGACTCAGAAGCTTTAGCTATTTTGGAGTCAGTTTACAGCTGGGCTTGGGATGGATTTTAAAGGTGATTCATGGCTGATTTTGCTGAGTTTCGGCTGGAAAACAGAGCTGCTTTTTGTGGATTTTAGAGCTAATTTCGGGATTGTTTGCCCGCCTCTATGTGTGCAAAAATGTGAGGTTTTATTGCTGAAAATGGGGTATGGGATTTGTGATAGGAGACAAGCATGTGGGACAAGGAGTGGAGAACAATGGAGAGTGGAGTAGGGAGCAAAGTGTGTGTGTGGGGACAAGCATGGGGGACAAGCATGGGGGACAAATGAAAGTGGAGTGGGGACACGCGTGAAAAGATGGGAGCGAAAAATATTCAAGTACGATAAAAAATTAGGTGCTCACAACAATATCGTATATCGGCCTCTTATGTTGGCACTTGGCACCTCAGTTTAAAGTTGGAGAATTCAACACTTTGATGAGGTTCAGCTAAGTGAATGTCTCTCAAGAAAATATCTTGAAGAATCCTTATAAACAAATCAGCATATCCAAAAGATATACTCCTATTAATATGTTTACAAAGAAAACATCGAATGTAACTTAGTAAGAGAATGCACTTATATGTGAACCAACAAAGAGAGGAAGTATTAGACCAACAGGTGAGTCAAGATGGATTGTCCATCCAATTCAAAATTACTTTTCAATTTATTTGTTTATTCTCCTAGTCTTCAATCATACATGGAGTTGCTAAGAAAGAGTTGATTTGAACGAAAACTGTACTTAACTAGATCCAACAGTTAGAATGGCTTAATTCTAGGTAAAACCTATTCCAATCCTAGTTATAAGGAGTACACCATTTATCTGATTCACCCAAATTTAAACGAGTTGCAAAAGTTATAAATTTATTTGTCAAGAAGATTGACATCTTACGGGAAAATAACAAATAAAACTAAAAAAGGGAAAGATAATCCCAAAGAGTTGGCTTATCTTTTTCTTCCGATATATGTTATGCTGCAGGGATGTGACGTGGCAGCAAACTCAGTAAATGGTCCGCCACGTTTCGGGACAAGTTCAACGTGTTAAAAGCTCATAAGCTGTACAAAGGACTCTTGCCCTCTAACATTTTTATCTTTGCCAAAGGACTAGCTCAGAAAAAAGAGTGTTGTCCTCTGTTAAGACCTCTCTTTGTTGTGAGTTGTAAAAATTAGGAAGAAGGAACATATATCCATGGCCATGAGTGGTTATAAGCTTCTGTACTTTTACAGTACCTCGCATGTATCTCGATTGAAACTACGCCTCCTCCCCTTTGTTCCCATATCTATACGGGTATATCTCTTTCTCCAGTTTCTTCCTTCTTTATTTATTGATTACAACAAAGAATTAATGGTTTCTCCAAGGTTAATTTTGGATAGTTATAATGTTAAGTTATTTTTTTATAGTAACTTAACATAGTTGATCTATACTTTGTATAGAAAATTAAAAGAGCTTGCGGCAGGTTAATGATCAACGTGAAAATAGTTTATGTCGATCGGTAAATCAGCGAAGGAATCACACAGCCGAATTGGAGGAGGTTGTACATAGCCGATCCAATTAATTTGGAAATGACATGTAGTCGATCAGTGAAAAATTCAGAGATTCTCACAAGAGGATTCAAAAGTATATAAAAAATATCTAAGGAAATAACAATTAGAATATGAACTTAAGACGAGAGCAATACTTTTTGGTCACCTTTGCACTTTAGGACCATGTAGCTCGGCTCCTCTAGTCAATTGATAGTGATCGACGACAATTAATGTTCATCTTTCTTACTCCCCCTGTCAGAGGTATACACAATCAATAAAGGAAAATTACGAACACCATGCAGAAGAAAAAGCACCTACAACAGCTGAGGAATTCATGAGAGTGGCAGATGAGATGGCGGAAGACAAAGAACATTTAAAAAGAGTTGCAAAAGAGAGAGATGGGCAGGGTTTTGCCAGCCAAACAGTGGACAAGGCAATGGAAGAGGCTACAATAGGCGACTCTAATTTAAAAGAGCCAGCTCCTGGCAAAGGGAACTTTCACAAGAGGGGCGATGACTCTGATGACCTCCTTAAAAATACCCACAAAACCAAATAGTGAGTAATTGAAGATCATGAGATCGATTAAAGTTGTAATTAGCCTAGTAATGCAACTTTTTCGTGATACGTGTTCAAAAGTAAATAACTAGTACTCTTGCTAAATAATACTCTAGCCTCATGACGTGTACATTCCCTTGCTTGCATTTCCTTTCTTTTCAGCTGTATCCTGTATCCATAAGACTAGTTCTTTGAGGGAACGTTATATTTTGCCTAGAGTTATGTACTTTAATAATCTGGTTTTAGTTCGGAACTAGTTACTCTGCTTTACTGGTCTGATTCACCTGATTATATTCTAGTGATGGAAAGTTCACCGTGGAGTGTTTTAGCGCCGACTCCATTCCTAGATAATGTATATCCCTATTATCATTTTTTCCTTCTTTCTTTTCTTGCACGTTTTTGGTTTGTGGGTTCGCTACATATTGCGAGACTTTCGACGATGAAGGCTCACTAATAAAGATGATTTTCATATTTCGACTTGATACTTGCATTTATTTCATTTGAGCTTTTACCCCCCCCCCCCC